GTTTCCAACATGGGCGTGTTTTGAACCCGACAGCGATTGATGTGGTACTGAAGAATGTACTGGCTGAACTCACTGCCAAGCTGATCCGCCGTCTACTAGTGGTTGCGGAGTTGGTTAAGCGTTGTACAGGTGCCTTTGCAAGCGGTTCTGGTTTTCACTGCACTGTTGATCCAGTTACAAGAATGGACACCGAATGCATCCGCGACTTGGTCATCTTGCATGCTGCGGATGGTTACCACTGGAGGTACTTTGTGGAAGACCCAACGACAGGAGAACGCTATCTGCTTAACTTCCCCTCACTCACATGTGATTACAATGGGGGTCAGCACATGGCGCGGTACCATGATCGTTATATTACGGTGCGACTAGACAATTTCAGAAAATGACCAGCAAATGAAGCTTGACAGTGAAAAAGGTTCATGCGATTAACTGTATAAGAGTTGGTGGTTTCCAGCTCTTGCGATAGATTGCTAGTCTGAGAAATTCGTACCTTCACTTTATCATTAATAACCATGGACCTCATGAAGCCGATCATAAGGACCAGGCTGTTGTCCTTACATCCACCGAGGGTTCTCGGGAGGAATAGGTATGCGTCCTGACGGCGTGCGAGAAGGCTCAAGGGAACCCCTTCGAACAAGCAGATGCTCACATTACATTTGCCAGGCAAAAGGGGGGGCTGCGAAAGCCAGGATCTGCAACACGTGTGAGCAAGCATTCGCGGGGCCCGTTGGGTTTCAAGAATGCTTGAAGCCAACGGGCAAAGTAGGAGAAAAAGTAGCTAGACACTCTGACAGTTGTACTATAGCCTAGTCGGAATGTGCTGATGTAGCGAGAGTGGTCATGGTCGTAGGAGGAGTAGTTGGAGCCATGTTGTCTTTTGCTGTAGCAGGCTGTATTGTTGCAATGAGGATCAATCGCCCATGGATGTTGTGGGGCTCAAGGAAGTGGTTCAATGGGTAAACCAGAGTGACTCACTTTTCTCAAGCTAAACATCAACGGGCTCGACAACAAGGTAAGAAAGGTGTCTGAAATGGATTAAGAAAGCTGTTACGATAAAATCACTTAGTTCCTACTACTGATAGTGCCACAAAAGCTGAAAAGCTCTTCTCGGGGTCACCTCCGAGGGTCCTTGGGTGCCTGACCGAAGCCAGCCCCTATCCAAGGGTCCGAGTTTGTTGAAAGAGAATTCCAGTGATGTAGAACTGCAGCAGCTGAAGCCCTATGTCGCGGCGTAGTCAGAGAATCCTTGATAGCAGCGTGGGAGAGTGCTTGATAGGCAGAGTATATTATTAATGTGCAAGACATACATTTATATATTCTCTAGGCTGTTTCTACTGCTATCTATCTAACATCTCCAAGCCCTTCCTATCACTAGCGAGGCGCGAGCAATTTTCACGTTTCCCTTATTTTGAGACTCACCTAGGTTGCGATTCGTCGGTGAATATTTTGAATGTTCGCGCGGAAGCTATGAACGGCATCGATCCGTTGTGCTTTTTCGCGCCTTTCTGATAACGGTTCCGATCGATCCGTTTATTTGACTCAGCTCGCTGTTTTGAACATGCGTGCTGATCTTGGCCAATCCTCTTGCTTGATTCTTGATTGCGTGAGAAGTTTCGTCGCGTGCTTTTGATCACTCGAGTCGTGAGCACTTTCTTGGGATGACGTGTTCCAGATGGCGAAAGTGTAGCTCTCGAAATGTCGACGCGCGTGTAGCTGCCCTCTGCTTCAGCCGCGTCAGCTTGTCCAAAGCCCGTTTCAAACTTGTTCGAACACTGTTCAGAACATGTTCGAAACTTGTTCTGAACATGTTCGGAACCAGTTCTGGCTGCGTGTTCAGAACGACGAACTTTGCTGCGCGAACATTGTCAAGTCGAAACCTGTCGCTTTGAGCACCAACGAACTCGCAGCGCGAACGGGAATTCCGTGCTGTTCTTTGCTCGAACCGAACTGAACCGACGCCTCCCATTGGTCGAAGCTAAATCCCCTTGAACACTCGATTATGAACGATTCGCCCCTGCACTTTTCGCCTCAAATGACTTGTGCACTCCCAGGAGATAAACCGGCTGATTGATATACAGAAAATTGATTTTGTATTAACAAAAGCAACAGATGTAGTAGTACTCACAAACACATGAGTTCCAGAAGACCATAATTTATGAACGCAGTTAAGAACGGGGGCTCAAGCGGTAGTCGCACCATCGCAGAGTGCTGGCGGCATGGCGGTGCTGAGTTTCCTGTAAGAGATGCAGTTTATATATGTGGTTGAACATGAATCGGGTCAGCTGCTGAGCTTGGTGCTGTGCTGGCAGGGCCTTAGTTGTAGGCTGGTAACGGCCTATTTCCCGGCGCAGAAGCTGAACAGGAGGATTTTTTTGGAAGATGTACTGACATCGTTTGTGCAGAGTCTTGAAGTAGTCCCACACACAATCCTTCTTGGAGATCTCAACCTCGTTGTAGACCCGGAGCTGGACAAGTTGTCCAAGTTGGGCACGCAAGCGGAGAACCACCTGCTACAGCATATTTTCTTCGCTTGGGACATGCAGGATGCCTTATGGCTTTACGAATCACTGGTTCGCGGCAGCAGTAACTCTCAGATCAGCGCCGGCTAATGACAGGGGTCCGGGTCTCTAGAGGCTCCAGGCGTCTCAAGCGGGGGGTGAAGGCACCAAGAATATCATCTTGGTAGTGCTGGATGTGCAACCTGAGCTGCTAGATCAAGGTATGGAGCGACTCTCCTCTAACCTGCGGGCCAGTTGGAGGGCACATGGAACAGAGGAGAGGAAGAGGGTGAGGCGAATATGGCACATCTAGAGAAGAAGGTTGAGTGGCTTAGGTGGAGAGTATGAGCGACCCCTCGGCCCAAGCTAGTGAAGCTGGAAGGAGCTCTCAAGCTCTACCATGACAGCAACAAGGAGCGGTTGCAGATGGTGGAGGGATGCAAATGGAGCTGGCGGGAGAAGCGCCATCTGGTGTTTTGTCAGGGTTGATTCCGAAAAAAGAAAGCAAAAATAGAAATCATCGAGCTGCATCTAAAAAGGGAGCAGCGCACAGGAGCAAGGGCGGTGCTACTGGCAGCCTCCAAATACTTCAGAGATGGATACGCATGTCTGCCGGTGGATACGGCTGGTATGAAGTGGCCGATTGATGACCGAAGGCAGTTGCAGGAGGAGGATTGGCTGCAGCTTAACTGAGCTTGGCCAGAGTAGGAGGTTAAGGAAGCGCTCAAAGGGCTCCCCGCGAAGAAGTCACCAGGGCAAGATGGCTTTCCAAAGGAGTTCGTTGAACGCAGCTGGAAGCTCCTCGGTCTAGATGTGATGCAGCAGATCGGAGACTTCGAACACTAGGCCAAGCTCCTCGAGGCCTTTGCAACAGTGGTTACAATTCTTTTGCACAAGAATGGCGACTGAGAGCAGTTAGGAAACTACCACCCGATTACGTTGCTGAGTATGTTCTACAAAATACTGGCGAAGGTGGTGGCCAACAGGATTAAAACGGCCTTATTAAGGGTGATTTCGCCAAACCAATATGGTTTTCTCTCGGGGAGAAGTCTGGCGTGTGCTCTCTCACTGGTACCTGGTGTCATCAATGCAATGGCGGAAGGGGATGAGGACTGGCCGGTGCTTCTGGTGGACTTCCAAAAAGCAAATGATTCGGTGTCGAAAGATTGCATGTTTAAAATGTTGGCGGGTATGGGTTTCCCCGACAATTTCATGGGATGGGTGAAGGGCCTCCACAAGGGGGCAGCCACCAGACTCCTGATTAACTAATGGCTTGGGGAAGGGGTGGAGATGGAGAAAGGAGTGAGGCAAGGGTGTGCGCTGGCCCCTTACCTCTTTCTCTGCGCTGTGGAACCAATTTGCCAGTAAGTGGACGGGAGGAAGCTAGGGGTGAGAAAGAGAAGGTCTGGTGTCTGATAGCACGTTCTGCTAGAGGTAGTGGCAGCACAAGCACAGGCGGCGACGCACGTGCAACAGAAAGCAGCGCAACAGGTAGAAGTGCAAGCATAGGGAGAAGCACCACCACACGGAGTAGATGTATCAGATGATGGAGTGAAGGCAGAGGTATCATCGCAACCACTTGCTGCTCCTCTCGCTGTGTCTGCTTTTCATGCTTCTACAACTTCTCCTCCTACTACTACCTCTGGTGCTCTCCCTCTTGCTGCAAGTGCAGCCTCTCTTGCTGCCAGTGCTGCCCCTTCTACCTCTTCTTCTCCTCCTCCCTCACAACCCCCCAACACCCCTCCCCAACACATCCCTCCCAAGCACACTCCTCCAAAGTCCTGGGCTGCTCTACTTGCATCAAAACCGACACCACATCAGCAACAACAACAACAAAAGCAGCAGCAGCACGAAAAAAATGTGCCATCATCACCAGCTGCAGCAGCACCAGCGACTAGTGAGCCTTTGGGAGGCGTTGATGGAGATAATACCACGCCCATATCAACTACTGGTATCGCCCATGCTGTACCTGTGCCTGCTACCGCTGCTGCTGCGGAGCAACCATCATACGCTGGGCAACCACCAACTGCAGCAGTAGCAGAGGTAGCAGTGCAAGCATCACCAGTTGTAACAGCAGCAGCAGCACCACCACCACCACCGCCGCCGCCGCCGCCGCCGCCACCACCACCACCACCACCACCACCACCACCACCACCACCACCACCACCACCACCACCACCACCACCACCACCACCACCACCACCACCACCACCACCACCACCACCACCACCACCACCACCACCATCAACACCAGGAGCAGAAGCAGCACCAACAGAAGACTTGCAACCGCCGCCACCAGCACCAGCAGCAATGGTCCCACCACCAGCTACAGCAGCAGCGCAAGCAACATCACCACAAATAAAACTAGCAGCAACAAAGCCCTTCCTAATTTCTTTGCAGTCGTTTCCTTTCCTTACGTCGATATTTCAACGCAAGATTCATTATTTCCGTATTCCATTTTCCGCATACATTGGTCGTTCACCCAGCTTTCCATGATTTGACATGCAGGTACTAGCTAGTTGCCCTGCGTTTGCTCATCTCTTGAGAGACATCTCAGCGTCCCTCGCTCCACACCTCCTAGTACGTGCATGCGAAGGGGGGGCCTGGCAGGAGGGGGCAAGACGGGTGGGGATGCTGTGAGAATTGTCACTTTGTTGTTGCCCTTCGTTCGCTCATCTCTTAAGGGACATCTCAGCATCCCTCGCTCCACACCTCCTGGTACGTCTGTGGGTGGGAGGGGGAGGGCGGAGGGCGAGAGGCTGAAGGGGAAGGGTACACGAAGGTTGGGGGGGCTGTTTGGCCTTCACTCGTTGCCCTGCAATCACTCATCTCTTGAGAGACATCTCAGCGTCCCTTGCGCCACACCTCATTGTTATTCTTCTTTCCTTGCCTCTCTCCGTTCCCATTTTAAGGCCCACAACCCCCCGCTGAAGGGACTGGTGGACTTCTGGAACGAGTTTGAAATGCCTATCAAGGAGTCATCTACCGGCCCTATATCACATTTTCTTTCCCTCTCCCTTATCCTTCCCCTCTCCCTTTTCCTTTCCCTTTCCCAGGCTCGCCACCTCGCTCTCAAACCTCTGGTTGACTTCTGGAAGGAGTTTGAAGTGCCCATCAAGTCGTCGTCTACCGGCCCTGTAGCAGTAGAGAGGCTTGGAGGGGCGGCTGTAGCAGGACTTATTGTGTTTCGCATTCCCTGCCTGCCTCTGTCCCATCTACGTTCCCAGGCCTGCCATCTTGCGCTGAAAGCACAGGTGGATTTCTGGAAGGAGTTTGAAGTGCCCATCAAGTTGTCGTCTATCGGCCCTGTACCAGCAGAGAGGCTTTAGTCCGGCCGGCTGTAGCAGGACTTATTGTGTTTCGCATTCCCTACCTGCCTTTGTCCCATTTCTCGCTCTCAGGCCCGCCATCCCGCGCTGAAAGCACTGGTGGATTTCTGGCTTTAGTCCGGCCGGCTATAGCAAGAGCAACAGCTGTAGCTGGTTTTGCTGCCCCTGCTAGTGCTGTTGGGGAGGATGGGGCGTGGGGGAAGATAGGGGAGAAGGGCGCGGGAAGAGGAAAAGGGAGAAGAGGGGCGGGTAGAGCAGGGGTGGGGGTGGTGGGGGCAGGGGCAGTGGGAGGGAGAGGGGCGGGGAGAGGGATAGATGGTTCTCCTGCCAACTCTGTAGTGCCTGCTCCTACTGCTGGTGCTACTAGTGTTGCTGGCATAACGCAAGGTGTATCATTTGCGTCAGCTCTAACAGCAATGGTTGCATCAGCAACTGCAGCATCAGGGGGTGAGGAGGGGTTGACAGCGGTGGCAGTGGGGCGAGCAGTGGTGCCAACCATGTTTGAGGGGCTGTTGTCGCTGTTCAACCCCCAGCACCACAGGAACGGCATTCATTTGAGGTGGGTGGGTGGGGTGTATGGGGGGAAGTGGGGGTGAGTGAAGGGGACGAGGAAAGGGTGAATATTAGTGGGAGGCATTGGAAAGGTGAGCAGTGGTACCGTCCATGTTTGAAGAGCTACTGCCTCAGTTCAACCCATAGCACCACATGAACGGGGCTCATTTGAGGTGAGGATTTGCATGAGTTGAAAATATGGGAGGGAAGGGTTGGGGGAAATGGGTAAGGGGCGTCAGTCAAAACGTAATGTCGAAGTGGGTAGTTGGGCGAGAAATGGTGGGTCTACTGTCCCCCTTCCTCCCATGTTTCTGTTTCCAACTTTCTCTCTGCTTGACAAAGAGGACGCGTGACCCGCTGGTCGCCCCTATTTCTGCCCATGCGGTGCAGTCGTCCTGTCTGAGAGACATATTTGCCGAGCAATTGAGGAGTGAAGTGCGATCTGCAGGTGAGACAAGACTGGCACCTGGTGGGCATGTCTATATTACCGTTGAATAGTTGATGCCTGATTGCTGTCTGAAGGGAGTTGGCAATTCGCCCTTGCCCATCTGAAGACACCACAAACAGGTGTAGCGAATTGAGTCAAATCACCCCTCGTGATGACAAACTTTGTTTTGAGATGTCTCAACTCCTCTTCTTTCCATCCTGTTCGCTCCCTTTCCATCCTGTTCGCTCCCTTGCCCTCCCCTTCCCTCACTCCCCTGCAGACAGCAAGCCATCAGCGATAGTGCAGCCCGTCTTGCTGCTCCAGCTCAACATAGCATCGGATCAAATCAGATCCGTGGAGGAGGCACTTAAAGCCTTTGCTGCACCCATGAACCCTACCCCTCTTCCTTCCCTCCACCCCATACACCCACACGCACTAAAGGCGACAAGCCATCAGCCACGGTGCAGCCCTTCTCGCTGCTGCAGCTGGACATAGCATTGGATCGGATCAGATCTGTGGAGGAGGCACTCAAAGCCTTCGTTGTGCAGGAGGTGGTGGAAGGGTATCGACCCAGCAACGCCAAGGTATGGTGGAGATAAATAGGTGTAGCATAGCATCAGATCGAACCAGATTAGATCCGTGGAGGAGGCGCTTAAAGCCTTCACTGCACTGGAGGTGGTGGAAGGTTATCGACCCAGCAACGCCAAGGTATGGAGCTTTGTGAGGGTAGCATATCTCGCACTAGATCTAATCAGTGTATGAGGCTCAAGAGTCTCTTGAAGCTGTAGCTGCATCGGAGGTGGTGGAGGGATATCGACCCAGCAATGCCAAGGTGTGTGCCAGGGAGGGAGAGAATTGTGTATCCCCCACGTGCTAGTGCTGCACTCCCCCACGTGCTAGTGCTGCACCTCATGCGATTCAATTTTTTCCTCCCCCTCCCTCTCCCGCATTCTTTCCCAGCCCAACCAGACGGTGCTTGCATCCAAGACGGTGAAAATCTCAGCCCTGCCACACATGCTGGTGCTGCATCTCATGCGATTCTCCTTCAGCCACTCCACCACCGGCAGCGTCAAGATCCACAAGCCCGTCTCCTTCCTTCCCCCTCATGGGCGCTCCCCCACAACTTGTGGGCCACAAGCCTTTCTAGTGCCACACCTCTCAAGCGTTTCTCCTTCTCCTTCCCTCTCCTTCCCCTTCTGCTTCTCCTTCTGCTCCTGCACTTACTTTCTCCCAGCCCAACCAGACGGTTCTTGCATCCAAGATGATGAAAATCTCTGCGCTCCCCCACGTGCTGGTGCTGCACCTCATGCGATTCTCCTTCAGCCACTCCACCGCTGACAGCGTCAAAATCCACAAGCCTGTCTCCTTCCCCCTCTCTCTCACTCTCTCGCGCGATCTCCTCTTTTCCTCCTCTCCCTCCGCCGAGGTATGGCTACTCGCCTTATTCACTTTTTCACCTCATACTCCCTTTGCTTATTCACCTCAAACTCCCTTCACTTATTCACCCGCTTCCTTCCATTGTCAAGATCCACAAGCTTGTCTCCTTACCTCTCTCCCTCACTTTCTCACGCAACCTCCTCTCTCCCTCCGCCGAGTTATGGCCTCTCACCTTCTCCCCCTTCACCTGGATTAGAATTTTATCACTCCAGATCTCCCACATGCTCTGCTTCTTGCTCCCTTGGTTTTCCAATGTGCCTAAAGCATTCCTCGTCCCTTTACCTTCTTTCCCTTGCGTCACCAGGATTGGCAATACTCCATCTTTGCCACAGCAGTGCACCAAGGGAGAGACCCATCCTCCGGTCGTGAGTCAACCCAAAACTCCTTCACCTCCTTTTCCTTCCCTCGTACTACCAGGAGCGCCGATACTCCCTGTTTGCAACAGTAGTGCACCAGGGGAGAGATCCCTCCTCTGGCCATTACACTGCCGGTGTTCGCCAGTGGCTTATGATTGACGATGTGCCTAAAGCGTGTTCCTTCCTCTCCCTCTACCTTCTTTCCCTTGCATCACCAGGAACGGCGATACTCCTTTTTTGCAACAGTAGTGCACCAGGGCAGAGACCCTTCCTCGGGCCATTACCCTACCGATGTTCGCCAGCCGGATGGATCCTGGCTTAGATTTGACGACGCGCGAGTTTTGTCTGTTTCTGCCAAGCGGGAGCTACAGGAGTAGGCGTATCTGCTGTTGTACCAGAGGGAAGGTGGAAAGCAGTGAGTGAAGCTCATTTGCAGAAGGAACATCACATGTGGAGATCTTTGTCAGATTACAATTCTATCTCTAGGCTATAGTAGGGTCACTACTTAGTGAGTACAACACTTTAGGGTTAGGTTTCCCCTACTTGTACTCACCTCTTGCATAGTTCAATCATCATTCCTAGTTCTATTCTTGACATGTTATCAGAGTAGGAACCGTTCCTACATGGGCCCACCGTTCCGCCTAGTGGTAGCGCCACGCCCTACACAGTAGCCAGCGCGCTGGCGCCCCTAGCTCTCACTGTCGCGATCCTTGCAACCCATGCGCTGCCCCTGTGACCGCGCTGCCCCTGCAGCCGTGCTCGCCCCTACGACCGTGCTGCCCCCGCAGCCGTGCTCGCCCCTGCTACCGTGTTGCCCCTGCAGCCGCGCATGCCCATGTGGCCCGCGCGCTGCTCCTGCAGCCCGTACGCTGCCCCTGCAGCCCGTTCACGCTGCCCCTGCAGCCCATTCACGCTGCCCTTGCAGCCCGTTCACGCTGCCCCTGCAGCCGCGCGTCGCCTCTGCAGCCCGTCCGCGCGGCCCCTGCAGCCCGCGCGTCGCCCTTGTAGCCCGCGCGCCACCTCTGCAGCCCGTCCTCGCGGACCCTGCAGCCCGCGCGTCGCCCCTGGAGCCCGCGCGCCGCCTCTGCAGCCCGTCCTCGTAGACCCTGCAGCCCGCGCGTCGCCCCTGGAGCCCGCGCGCCGCCTTTGCAGCCCGTCCTCGCGGACCCTGCAGCCTCCGTGTCGCCCCTGGAGCCCGCGCGCCGCCTCTGCAGCCCGCGCGTCGCCCTTGGAGCCCGCGCGCCGCCTCTGCAGCCCGTCCGCGCGGCCCCTGAAGCCCGTACGAGCTGCCCTTGCAGCAAGCGCGGTGCCCCTGCAGCCCGCGCGTCCTGCCCCTGCAGCCTGCGCCAACGCCCTGCCCTGCGCCAGCGCCCTGCTATACACTAAATATAATTAAATTGTTTTGTTAAAAAAAAATAAAAAAAAGGACCCTAGGTGCTTCTGCCCTACGAGCTACTACCTACTACTGCCCTGCTGTGGCCGCGCGCCGCTCTGCTCTGGCCGTGCGCCGCCCTGCTGCTGTTACTACTGCTGCTGCTCCTACTCGTGCTACTGGGAGTGGAGGAGGTGCTGCTGGGAGTGCAGGAGTGCTGCTGGCGCTGTACGAGCTGGAGGTGCTGGACCTACTCCTGACCGTTGCTGTCTGTCATGGCCACTTCCACGGAAGTTGCTGCGGCCAGGGGTGGACAGCAGCGGGCACTGCTTCTCCCGGACGACCCCACCCCTCGACAGCTTCGTGAATGGGTTATTCAGCGAGGTCGTCCTCGTGGTGGAGGTTATCGTTCTGTTAGGACTGCTGCTCTTGGTGTTAGTGAGTCTGCTGCCGCTCCAGGTGCTAGTGAGTCTGCTGCAGCTCTAGGTGCCCGTGAGTCTACCGACGCTCTAGGTGCTAGTGTGTCTACTACCACAGGTCCTGCCTCAGCTGAGGTCTTGCACACTTTCACGCTTGACTCAGGCGCGTCACGTTGCTTCTTCCGTGATTGCACCACAATCACACCACTCACAGCACCTGTCCCAGTCTCACTGGCTGACCCCTCTGGGGGCCCAGTGGTTGCGAGAGCCTCCACGGTCCTCCCTTGTCCAGCAGTCCCCTCCGGTTCTTTGTCAGGTCTCCACCTCCCCACGTTCTCGACGAACTTGGTGAGCAACGCTACCATTCAGGAAGTCTGGGTTGATACCTTTATTCCTGGAGGGCAGCGTGTGGCGATCTGTACGTGCTCCCGGACTGGCCGTCACCTGGCTACGTTCACTCGTCAGCCTGGGTCTAGTCTGTACACACTGACCACTGCGTCTGCACAGGTGGCTGAGTCAGGTCAGGTAGCTGCATCGAGTCGAGCGTCTGCGTCAGGGCAGTTAGCTGCGTCTTGCTCATGCAGAGTACTCACGCACGAGACTCAGCGCTGGCACCACCGTCTTAGTAACCCCTCCCTGCAGCATCTGCGCGGCATGCACTCCCGGCTCCTGATCTCTGGCCTCCATGAGACCCTGCCCCCCCTCCCGCGCTCACTTGCGCCACCGTGCCTTCCTTGCATCGAGGGGCGGCAGCGCGCCGCTCCTCACTCCTCCGAGTTTCCTCCCACCACTGCTCCTCTGCAGACTCTCCACCTGGACGTGTGGGGCCCGGCCCCCCGTCGGTGGGACGGATCAGGAGCGCTACTTCCTGCTGGTTGTTGACGACTACACACACAACACCACAGTCTTCCCCTTGCGTTGCAAGGCGGACGTCAGCGGTGTTTTGATCCCCTGGATCCGTGCTACTCGTCTCCAGCTACACGAGCGCTTTCATCAGGACTTCCCAGTCGTGCGTCTGCACTCTGACAGGGGTGGTGAGTTCTCTTCTGGCGTCCTTGAGACGTTCTGCCAGGATGAGGGCATCGCCCAGTCGTTCACGCTTCCGGCCTCTCCGCAGCAAAATGGGATCGCTGAGCGTCGCATTGGCCTGATCATGGAGGTTGCTCGTACCTCCATGATCCATGCGGTTGCTCCCCATTTCCTGTGGCCGTTTGCGGTCCGATACGCCGCGCATCAGCTCAACCTCTGGCCCCGTGTCTCTGCTCCAGAGAACTCGCCCACACTTTGTTGGACGGGACAGCCTGGTGATGTGTCGTCGTTTCGGTTCTGGGGCACGCTCTCCCTTTTTCGCGATACCAAAGCGAGCAAGCTCTCTCCTCGCACTCTCCGCTGTGTCTTCCTGGGCTTCCCCACCGACGCTCCACCCTGGTAGTTCTACCACCCTGCCTCGCGTCGTGTTCTATCCTCTCAGGACGTCACCTTCGACGAGTTGGTCTGTTACTATCGACTTCACCCGCACGCGTCCCACCCAGTCCCCCTTACACCCCTCTTCGTGGTACCAGTCCCCCCCGCAGTAGACCCCCTCCCCCCACAGGGTCCTGCTCCCTCAGGTGTGTCCCAGGTAGACCCACCCCCCTTAGATGAGCCAGTTGAGATCTCTTCTGACTCCTCTGACTCACCTAACGGGGGTGACACCATAGCCGACGACACAGCGACCACTCGCCGCACTCCTCGCTTGGCAACCCCCTCGGGTTTCCCGCCACGGCCGTCATCGCCGCCTCCGCAGCCTGCTGCTGTGGACTCTGGAGCTGAGACTACTGGAGCTAATACTGGGGGTGGTGAGTCTGGGGGTGCCCGCTCTCCTCGTCTGGCTACCCCCCCCGGGTTCCCACCTCTTCCGTCTTCGCCGCCTCTGCAGCCTACTGCTGTGGACACTGAGGGTGCTGAGACGGAGGGTGCTGAGACTGAGGGTGCTGGGACTGAGGGTGCTGAGCCTAAGGGTGCTGACTCTGGGGGTGCTGAGACTTCGGGTGCTGACTCTGGGGGTGCTGCGAGTCCTTATGGAGGTCCTGGAGTTGGAGGTACTGGAGCTACTAGGCCTGGAGGTCCTACTAGAGGTACTACTGGTGTTGGAGGTACTGGAGCTACTGCTGGTGCTGGAGGTGCTGGAGCTGGAGGTACTAGAGGTGCTTTTGGTGCTGGAGGTGCTAGAGCTACCACTACTGGAGGTACTGGAGCTGGACAGCCACCGAAGCCTGCTCTACTTGAGACGCTCTCGCCGCAGGCGATTCGTGCGTGGGTCGTTCTGCGAGGCAGTCCTGGTGGTGGAGGGTATTGTCCTGCTGGTGCTAGAGCTACTAGTCCAGGAGGTGCTGCTGGTGCTGGAGGTGCTGGAGGTACTACTGGAGGTACTAGAGGTGCTGCTGGTGTAGGAGATACTGGAGCTGCTGGTGCTAGGGGTACTGGAGCTGCTGGTGCTAGGGGTACTGGAGCTGCTGCTGGTGCTGGAGGTACTGGAGCTGCTAGTACTGGAGGTGCTGACGGTGCTGGAGGTACTGGAGCTGCTGGTGCTTGAGGTACTACCGTTATTGGAGGTGCTGGAGCTACTGGCCGTCTTTTCTGCCTCCGCAACCTGCTGCTGTGGACTCTGAAGCTGAGACTACTGGAGCTAGGGCTGGGAGTGGTGAGTCTGGGGGTGCCCGCTCTCCTCGTCTGGCTACCCCCCCCGGGTTCCCACCTCTGCCGTCTTTGCCG